TTATTAGAAACACAGAATGGTAGTGTATTATTATACAAAAATATAACAAGTGATAGTCATACACAATCACAACCACTATCAATAGCTATCGTAGGACAACAACAAAGTAAGTCCTGTATTTCAACAATCTAGCGGAAACAATGAAGAATGGGTCACTTTTTAAAATAAATATAACTTATGTAAAATAATGATAAACGTAACTTACAACTTATTAGAGCCAAATCTAAAAAGTTTTAATCATGCAAGAATATAGTTTCTTGAGCTTCTAGTTTTAGAACTATGAATTTTAGAAAAGACTGGATATTCCAAAAAATCTCATGCTTGACCTCAGCCCTGTGGAGAACTATGGGTCAAAATTTCTCCATGGAATACTGGCACAGCCTTTCATAGTATCATCAAACGCCTCATTCACAAAGTTCTCAAATTAAGTTTTGTTAGATATGAAAATGCGTGCTTCTGTAGATGATAGCTCAGAAACCATCAGATTTTGACTGAAGAATTGACTCAAGAAGTATAACGTTCATCCGAATCTAAGTGAGTGATTCTGGTAATTTTTCTACAGTTCGACCTAAGCTAATGGACCTGCATGGTTTTCCTTAATCAAACTTTTGGAAGCTTATGCCATTTTATTCCGGACATTTTACTCCACATATACTGCTAAGATCTCTTTCTCTCTAATTTCCTTCTTTTATTATCTTTAATTTTTTGGTTCTTTTTCCCTTTTTTCTTGGTGGTTTCTGCACGTTCTTTTTGTCTTAATTAACATTTTTCTTCTTTTAGGGGAGTGGAACAAAAGCCTTTTTGCTTTTTGTGCAGTACTTTATCCGCTCTGTCAATCTACACTCTTAGTTTCGCCTAAGCCTTTTTAGTTTCTGTGAAAACTTCGATGGAATTTGTGGTCCTCGAAAAGTTCAAAAATCGTGTCCCACCCCCCTTTTGAGCTTACTGCGCAGCCAATAAGCACTTTAAGTCAAATGTGAGTAGTACAAGTTATGCTGTAAATAACAAGGCTTCAGCTTATTTCTAAAGGAAGAAATTTGAAGAATACATCAAAATGTTCCACCTCTAACTTTTGTCCTACTCTCAAACATATTTCTAGAACTGTAATGGCTAGCATATATAGCCTCAAATTTTACGATTACACGTATTTTGACTCTCTTAATCGAATGACCGGCTCAGTTTTCTGAAACCAGCTTAGCAAAGGATTTCTAGAAGCCCAAGCTTAAACCATATTTTTAAGAATGCCAGTTGATAGAGCATATGTGAAAACCTATGCTTCAATACATTTTTAAGCTCAGTTATGCTTTTTTTTAGCTGAAAAGCAGAGAAAATCGCATTTTCGATCCTGAGCCAAAAAGTGAACAGCCAGGATTTGGGCTGAGATGGACTTGGTAGTTTGGAACAGAGTTTTTTCTAGACTTTCAAGCACAGTCTATAAACCTACAGTGCTAAAACATTTTTCTGGAAACTTTCATTTTGGGTCATTTTGTCTTTAAAAACGGTAGAAAAATCACAACTTTACTTTTGGAGGAACACTAGTGATGTCGAAACAAATTGATCTTTGACCAAAAATACGTATTCAGCATTGTAATATAAGCAATTCAGCATTCAATATTTCCATATTCCAAACAAAAGCAATCAAGATTATCTTAAGTGGTAATTAGTAAAAATTTTTAAATTTTAAAAAAAGGTTAATTTGTCAACTATTTGTAAACTGTGAACGTCAACTGTTTGTGAACGGTCTACGTCAACTGTTGTTTCGAAATGTTTATAAATAATACTGCTCAAAGTAATGTCTTCTCACTCTTCAAAAAATTATCATGGATTTTGTACGAAAGCAAAGTCAAAAAGGCGCTTCTGCCAAATGATCTAAGCATGAAACCAATGGTATTTGCTGCTATGCCGAATAAATCTCGTCAGTTATACGAACAATTACTACGTTCATTAGTTTCATATGCTGAAAGTTTAGATGTAAAATTAGAGCCAAAATCAATCCTCATAGATTTTGAACAAGGTGCTGTCCAAGCATTTCAAACTGTTTTTCCAGGGATTCAGGTTACACTATGCCATTTTCATTTTGGGCAAAATATATGGAAAAGAATTAAGAAATATGGTATGTCGTTAGAAAGTTGTATCTTTCTTTCTGTTCTACGTTTTCTTTATTTCCTCAGGCTTAGTTAAACTTTTTAAAGATGAACAAGCG